TATATCCCTCTCTTCCAAATTCCAAATGCACTACACTAAAAAATAAAAAAATTAAAAAACTCAAGGTCACTTGACCCCACATGACCCTACATCTGCTGTAATGCATAAAGACTTAGCAAATCCTACCATTTTTCTAGTAGTTTCTTAATTTCTAGCTATGTTTGTCTCATATGATATGCCACGACAAACATATTATACATCAGTGGCGATCTAGGATCTCGAGTAAGTTATGGTGGCCATTGATCGTCAACGATTGCAATAAAAAGATTGCTTGTTAATATTTGATTAAATAATATTAAAATTTTTTTTTGAATCTGCCATTTATTTAGAATTCTTCGAAGAAAATAAAAATAGATTATAGTTGTAAATAAACATTAAAAAAAGATAACTATATTAGAGAATAAGTACATGAAAAAAATATTCTTTTTTTAAATAAAGCATAAGCATAATAGTCCATTCACGACTCCAGTGCTAAAACAATGAAAGATTGATAATGGCAGTCGCCAAAATAATAATTTAAAGTTTAATTGATATATTTGTAATAAATTGAGGGTCTCAATGATAATTTTTCTTATTATAATATTCCCGTTTCTCTTTCCCCCACTATTCTTGACTTTCGAAAATGGACCCCACCTCCCATCTTCGTCTTCCCCACCTTAATCGTTTTAACCGGCAAAAAATGTTATACCAACGAAGCCAGCACGGATAGCCGCTAATGCTCACTGGGTGCTAGCTCCATCATTGTTGTGCACTTAAGTTCTAATTATATAGGATTCTAGAAAAATGTTACGGAAACTTATAATTTTTTATTTGTAAGAGTATCTTCATTATACTCTCTATTTTTAAAAAAAACATATTTTGTAATTTAAAGAGCATTTATAAATTTAGAGTTAATTTTTTAAAATATTTCAACATGCTCTTTATATTTAACATTAACTATTTTGAAAAAATATTTATTATTTTTCCTTATCTTTTATTTCACTAGCTTTCTTTCAAACTACATATTATTTTCTTTTATTGTAAATTAAAATATTTTGAATGTATTTAATTATAGGGAGTATTGATTAGAAGAGTTTATTGAAGTATAAATTTATGGATTGACTTTTTAAATTAGAAATCACCTTATGTTTAAAGAGCCTCCTAAAAATATTCTATAATATTTTCAAAACTCTCTAAATATAAAATGTTCTTTATTTTAAAGAGTAAATTATTAAAAATGAACTCCAAGAGATTTTCTATTTTGACTTTTTTAAATAGAGAGTGAGTTTGTCTTTTCAAATTTAGAGAGCCAAACTATCTATTTTAATGTAAAATGATTGTATTTGGTCCCTATTTGAGCTCCATTTTATTCAAAATACATTTTTTTTTCTTATTTTCAATTACACATTCTCCAATAAAATAATATTATACGTAAATTCAAAGTTTTACCTTCTTTTTAACCATCCATTTTTTCAAAAAATTGCTATTTGAAAAATGCAATTTCTCCCAAAATTTGATTTTAATGAAGTCCAAATAATGGCTTAATAAATCACATATTTCAATACTTTCTTAAACTATTCGAACCACATTCAAATTGATTGGTTAATTGACATATAAAAAAATTATATTAAATAAAATATGAAGAGAAATCAATATATATATATATTTTTAAAAATGAAAAGCTAAAATAGAGAGGTTGTTGGAGTGAATAAAATTTTTAACTCTCTAAATAGAACATATGCTAAATTATTTTTCTATATTTAATTACTGTTAAATACTTTTCTAATTTGAAATTGAATCATTATATTTTCAACAACAACATAGAGGAAATTGCACCCCATGTTACGTTTTGGATAGACATTTTCAAAAAATTACTTATTAATAATCTTTGTAAGAATATCACTTTTGTATTTTTTATCCCCTAGAATATTTAAAATCCATATGTTTATTTAATTAATATTGATTTGATTATATGAAAAAGTTGTGTAAAATAGTACACAAATATACTATCAAACCCATATTAAGATTTGGGGGTCCATCTTAAAAGGTCAACCTTATTAAGAGTAGTAGCCCAAAATCTTTATTAATTGGTCTTTGTCAACATCTTTATTCGATGTGGGATTATATCCCTTAACACGCCCCCGCAAGATGGTGGCTCATTTGAGCAGACCAATCTTGAAATCCACGTGCTCACTTTTTGGAGTCTTACCGGGAACGAATAGCTCGTTGGAGCATAATGAGCTCTGATACCATATTAAGATTTGGGAGATCATCTTAAAATGTCAACATTATTAAGAGGAGNACAACCACTGATTTGGCCGTGTATCAAATGTTAAGATTTGAAATTCCATCTTTTAAGGTCAACCTTATTAAGAGAAGTAACTCAATCCTTTATAAGTTGGTTTATGTTTACATCTTTATTCGATGTGAGATTATATCCCTTAACAACCCATACCCTCCCCCCACTTTCCAAACAAAATTCACAAAGCAAAAAAAAAAAAGAATTCAAACGTAATGCAAAAAAATTAAAAAGAATCCACTACGTGTTGCTAAACTTCGTCGGTAGCCACCGAAATTTTCTATTTTCGTCGAAGATTCAAAAGAATTGGAAGGAAACCCTTCACGTTCGTCTCGCTCTCAAACATATCACATTTTGTGATGGCCTGATTGGATTCATATCGATGACCAAACTGAAATGAAATTAAGACATATATTGAGTCTAGAATTAAGAAAATTATTTGATTGAAATGAAACTTTAATCGAAGACATCAAGTGTTTTCTATATATCCTTATCGAGCATGTTTCGCAAATAAGCAGCACTACATTTGTGATTAAAAATGAATAGGGCGAGAATTTTACACAAAAAAAAAAGAAATAAGTAAGGCGACATGGGCTTATTTTTCGAACATGGTCTTAAATAAATTACTTATAAATGCACATGTGCATGGTCATGATATTTCAACCTGCAATAGAATGCAAGGCACAAACCTTGCGGCTAGAAAGACAATACAGAAAAATGTGCAGGAAAATTCAGGTGATAACCAGGTTAAACAGCCAACGAAAAATGTGTACGACAATTCAGGTGAAATTCAATCTACTACAGAAGTGCCTAAATTATCTAGTAAAGGGGCGGAGGTTACAACTATTGAGACGCCGGTACCAGGGAAAGAATTTCCCTTGAACAACGAGATTCTAGTTGGGACACAAAAAAATAAAGAGATTTCCCAGAAAGATCCTATCAATCTGTCTAGTGAGGATAAGGAGCTTTCGATTAAGGAGGACGATAAGGATGAGGTTGATGCTGATAGGATGTTAAAAAAAGCTAGGCTATTGAACTTTGGAAGCACTGCTGGGATTGTACCAAGCTCGCCAACTCGCAGCACAGACCTTGCTTCCCCCCAATCTATGCTCCATAACCGGTTTGAGGAAGATATTCCTATAGGAAATTCTTTCGAAGTGTTAATTGATCAGTTGCATTTGGAAGTTAGAAAAACCCCCCTGATTACTCCTTCGACATTGGCAGAGATGGTGGTTGTCATTTGGACATGGATATACCAGACATAGCAGCCAACAACAGATGTAACAGAAAAATGGTGCTGATCTCTGACTTGACTGGGGATCCTCATAAACATCTTTGATATGAATACATTCCTTGTATGGAATGCTAGGGGGGTGGGAAGTTCTGCCACCACTCGACATCTTAAACATTTAATTAAAAGCTTTAAGATTTCTTTTATTGCTATATTGGAGCCGATAGTGTCTTCAGATCAGGCTGCTAAGATCGGTAGGAAGTTGGGTCTTCCGCAAGTTGTTACTAATACAGAATTTGGGGGCAAGATATGGGCCTGTTTTTCGGCGAATTTTATATTCACTCTTGTTGCTTCTACTGACCAACTTATTGCTATAGATATGAATTGGCAAGGAAAGGATGTTCGGATTGTTTTTATTTATGCCAAATGTGACTACATCCTTCGAAGAAAATTATGGTTGTCTTTGGGGCAACTCATGTCCAGCTCTCTCCCTATTATTTTTATGGGGGATTACAATATTGTTAAAACTGAAGAGGAAAGAGCAGGCGGTTTACCAGTTCACAGGGTGGCCAAGAATGACTTTCTTCGATTTATTGATTCTCATGGCTTATATGATCTTCCTTTCTTGGGAATTAAATTTACTTGGTTCAGCAATCGCAATGGGTCTTTGATTTGGGAGAGGCTCGATCGTGCTCTCACTAATCATGCTTGGCTCGATCAATTCCCCAATAGTATTATCAATCATCTTGAGAGATGTCATTCAGATCATGCTCCGTTGCTCCTACAGTTGGCTGATCCTCGACGCAGCTCGCCTTGTCCTTTTCGTTTTCAGCGTATGTGGCTTCAACATCCTTTATTTCTTCATGTGATTGCGGAATCTTGGAATAGAGATTGTCATTTTAGTGGTTTGCAACGGATGGCTTTCAAGCTTGAAAGGCTTAAGGGGGATCTTAAGCTTTGGAACAAAGTGATCTTTGGTAATGTTTTCTAGTAACTTAATGACACCAGGGATAAGATTCTATTACTCGAAAATAAGCTAATTTTGGATGCTTCAGTTGCTAAGGAGCTCGAGGAACTAAAACGCACTTATGACCGTCAACTTCTATAGGAAGAAATCTATAGAAAGCAACAAAGTCGGGTCAAATGGCTTAAAGAGGGAGACCGCAATACTTCATTTTTTCATGCAGTGGCTCGTCAAAATCATCAAAAGATGCACGTTAGTGAAATTATGGGTCCTTCTGGTATTCTCACAGACACACAACAGGTTTTAGGAGCAGCTGTTGAATTCTTTAAAAGCCACTTGAGTACTGAAATGGAGACTAGTCGTGATCTATCTCCCATGATCTCCCTGGTGCCTAAATTAGTTACTAATGAGGATAACAATATGCTCCTTTCTGTGGTTTCAGAACATGAAGTATATGAAGCTGTTAAAGGCATTCCTGAAGATTCTGCACTGGGTCCTGATGGTTTTTCTTCATCCCTATATATTCATGCTTGGACTATTATTTCTGATGATCTTATTGCAGCAGTCCGTGAATTCTTTGCAGCGGCTCTTAGTTCAGACTCCTTGGGGGCTTCCATTATCTCGCTTATCCCGAAGAAAGACAAGCCTAACACTTTTCATGATTTTAGGCCTATAAGTATTTGCCAGGTGCTTTACAAAATTATTGCCAAGATTATAGCCCATCGATTGTCCAAAGTGCTTC